CGTAAAATCTTTATTTATGCCAGGAATGTTTGAAACTCAAAAGATAAATGTCATTCAGGAAAACAAGCATGTCCTAGGTATTCAGTACGTAATGGGGCACAGCTGTAATAACAGTCAGTGAACCAGAGACTCCCTACATCATGTCATTAGCTCACTTTTAATAAGTCTATCTTCTTGTCCTTTTTATAAGGGCCATAGGGAAAGAAAGAAATATATCATCCCCCAAACATCTGTGCCTCTCTCAAATTGTCTCTCTTAGAAGACAGATCTACTTAAGGGACTTGCCTTGGGATATAGGTTGTAAAGTGCACACAACCTCTCTAAATATGGATTTTATTTAAACAGGGAGCATCACACATCATTTGTGAGCTGCTGAAGACAGTGCAGTGCAGGCTGAGCACATAAATAGCATCAAAGTACCTGCAAATAATCAAATACATACACTGAAACAAGGCTTGGGGCTGAACTTATTCCCTTGAAGCCAGAGATTTCAGGCAAATAAAATTCTGGTTCGGAGGAGGTTTTAACAAGCCTTCCAAGGAGCCACAGAAGCCTCTACTTAAAACAGGACTGAAAAATTGACTGGTTCTTTCTCCATTGTAAATGTTTATCCCTCCAAGCTGAAATTAACATCTGGCTTGGAATTTTCAGTGGCACAGGGAGATCCAGATACTGCAAACCCTTCAAGACTCCTAATGATCCTAATTTCTTTATCACTACCTTACTTTTGTTCAAAAGGTTATTTTTTAAATAATTTTCATCCTGGCCTCTTGTAAAAACTCTGTAGTGCCTTACTGATTACCTTCTCCTTAAACAAAGTGATTTCCTATGGCTTTTTATGCCTGGGTTCAATGATTAAGCAAGATGATTAAACAAGTTACATGGCTTGTTCTGCCTCCTGGCTTTTAGAAGTATAAAAGATAAAAGGAGGAGACTGCAGATAATTAAACTACTGGCTGTCTAGGGAAGTGAGGTGATATAAAGTAGATCTGGGGTTTTGTTATTATTTATAATGTAGCTTTGCATAGAATGCCTCCGTTTGGATGCAGGGGTGGCTGCTCTCTAAGCTTCCTCTAGGAAAAGTCCCTGACAGAGAAAGGAATCAAAATTTTGCAGGTGCACAACTGACCTGTAGAGAGGCCAAAACTCAGGGTTAGGCACTTTTAGTCTCTGAATTGAGAAGCATAATCACTTTTTAGAGTTATTAGGAAAGCACTGACATTTCCAGCTGACATTTAGCCCACAAAAAGCCTTCTGTGTTTCTTCTTCAGGGATTCTTCTTTATTTTGCAATTTATTTACTTTTGGCACCTGTCTGCATCCTGCCTGAATTGTGTGGAAGAGCTGTGGTGAGCTGAGGACAGGATCTGAAGAAGTCTCTTGCTACCACATGTCCCCTTTGTTCCTCTGCTGATGCCAGGAGATGTGACAGCACAAAACTCCTTGGAATTGGTTTAGTGCTGACATTGCCTTATTGTAGCTGAATTTACTTGCTACCACCTTTTGCAGCTGCACTGTTGGGACCTTGGGTTAAAAGGCCTGAAGTCCTTAAGAACTAAGCTCCATTTAAAGCTGTTACAATGTGCTTTTAGTGATCAAAAGAAAACAATCTATTTTATCATCGATGCAATAAAGAACTGAGGTATTGGGGGGGGTGGGGGAAAGGAAAATATTTGGGGATTGGCATGACTAGACTGAGAAAATACAGAAAATTTAATTATTTTCACAAAATTTTGATGTTAATAATAATTTTGCTGGAATCATCGCTAAAAATGGAAGGGGTAGAGTTCAGGAAGATGCACATGCAAAGTTGGTGCTCGAGACAGAATATTCAGATTGATGTGGAGCAGCTGCCAGGAAAATGCTGTTGCAAAAAGAGGGTCATAGACTTGACCCTCTTGTTCCCAACTACCCTCTACAGGGTTTTCATTTTGCTCCTTCTTCTTGCCCTGCCCCATGGCCCCTCTGGTCTAACCTGGATTTGTGACCCCTCACATCAATCCAGACCCATTTGGATATGGTACATGGAAATTAAGGATAAAGCTACAGAAAAGCTCTCTTGGGACAGCATTCTAGACCTTAGAAAGCTAAAAATGTTCTTCTGATATATCCCTTGTGTGATCTGACCAGTGAGGGAATGCAAGACCAATTATATTTTTGTAATTATACTTCAAGAGACTGCTTATATACATACTTAAGGTCTAATTTTAACAACTAGCAGAGTTTCTAAGGTAATTCTAATACAGTAAATCAATTGGCATGATCAAGAGGTAGCACAATTAAGCCTGTACTAACCCGCATCACCTAAATGTACTTAAAGAAAAGATGGGCCATGCATAAATGCAGAAAATAAACTGCTTAAGTAGCTTGTGGGTTACAGTGAACAGAGCTGCTATTGCCAGAAATGCTTTTGACTTTGCCACATCCCAGGTACTGTGTGTTCCACAGCAAAATCAAAATCCACTTTGCAGTGTAATCAATTGGCATGATCAAGAGGTAGCACAATTAAGCCTGTACTAACCCGCATCACCTAAATGTACTTAAAGAAAAGATGGGCCATGCATAAATGCAGAAAATAAACTGCTTAAGTAGCTTGTGGGTTACAGTGAACAGAGCTGCTATTGCCAGAAATGCTTTTGACTTTGCCACATCCCAGGTACTGTGTTCCACAGCAAAATCAAAATCCACCTTGCAGTGCAAAGGCAGCAGCTCTGGGCCCTAGGGAAGCACACTGCAAAGCAGGAGGCCTCTGCAGAGAAAGAACTTCCCTGATCCTGGTCAGTTTATTTTTTGGACTGTCCTCAGGTGATTTCTAACTGCTGTGCGGATGAACAGGCTGAAAGGCAACACCTTTGAGCAGAGAAGCAGGAGAAACTCAACAAGGACGCTCCAAACCACTGATCTGAAAATCCAAAACAATGAACTATAACAGCAACAAATTGAATGGACATAAAATGCAGGTTCCAGGACTGAATTGGGTAGATTCACCTCTGTCTGCCTATTGCACAGCCCCCACAACACTGGGAAGTGTAGTGACTGGGGTCAGGAAATAGCCTGTTCTCACATTTTTATGCCTCCCACTACAGCTGATCTGTGATTTAAGGAGAAAACACACACCCTCTACAGTGAAAAACATTGCAATAACACAGCCCACCAGGAGGAACAACGTTACTTAGAACAATATTAACTTGTCTGTGGTTTCAGGAAGACAGAACTGGAAGTATTTTGGGGACATGGTGTGGGATGGGAGGACGTGGGAGGAGGCTTACTGAACACATGCATGTTTTCTGTGCAAAGCCTCCTGATGGAAGCTGCATGGAGCACAAGCACAGAAATTGCAGCATCGAGTCTCTCTCTTCACTGGCACACATTCCTCCTAAAAATTTCACACCCAACCAAATGCCAGGGAAGAGTCTAGATTCTTCACAACTTTCAGATAAATGGAGCCATGTCAAATGAGAAGCAAATGGCAGAACAGTGCAGTGATGACAAAGGCTCTGATCCAACAGCCAGGGCACACTGCTGTGTTCATGCAGGGCCTCAAAGGCTTTCCTAAGTCTCCACAGAAGGAGAGCAGCCCTTTTGAACCCCATCAACTGTGACACCACGATCTAATTCAGTATTCAGCTTCACACCCCCATCATGTTGGCAATAATTCAGACTTGGTGAGACAACTTGTAAAGGAGGAAAAAAAAAAAAGCAGTGTTTTCAACCACTCTAATTTAATGTTAGCTTTTTATGTGTCTAACATCAAAGCCTTTTTTCACTTCTATTTAATCAAAATTAATCACTAAGATTACTACGGTAATTTATGTTGGAGATTATTGAAATGAGTGTTTTATTAAAATCTGGTTTTATTAATAAAACACATTCTGGCTAAGGAATCATGTGAGCCTGCTATTAGAGACTATTAACTGGGAACTGGGAGTTAATCATAACAGTCATGCTGCCAGGTTCTTTGACAGAAACACACCGGGTTTGTTTCTGCTTTTACTTTTATGGGAATATCCAAGACAATTAGTCACCCTGGCACAGAGCAAATCCTGCAAATCAGGGAGAAGAAACAAAGGTGCATGTGGCATTCACATTTTCTGAAAAATCCCTTCGCACAGGATTTTTCCCCTGGGAAGGTGAGATGCCTCAGAAGGAAAGGAAAACAATAATTATCTCCTTTGCTTCTCCTCTGTTTTGCTCCTTTGGAAAGTTTTTTGGAGACTGTTTACCCACAGGTGGTTGTTTGATTGGATTCTGGTGTGAGTTGTTTTGTCTCATTGGCCAATCAGTGCCAAGCTGTGTCAGGACTCTGGAAAGTCACAAGTTTTCATTATTATCTTTTTAGCATTCTGTAAGTATCCTTTCTGTATTCTTTAGTATAGCATAGTATTCTTTAATAAAATATAGAACCATAAAATAATAAATTAGCCTTCTGAGAACATGGAGTTGTCACAGTCATATTTTCTGGAAAAATCCCTTCACCAGGATTTCTCCTGGGAAGCTGAGAAGCCTCAGAGAAAAAGGAAAACAATATTATCTCATTTGCTTCTCCTGTGTTTTTCTGCTTTGGAATGTGGTTTGGAGATATCCAACAGGTGGTTGTTTGATTGGTTTCATGTGAGTTGTTTTAACTTAAATGACCAACCACTGTCCAGCTGTGTCAGACTCTGGAAGCAGAGTCACAAGTTTTCATTATTATCTTGTTAAGCCTTCTGTAAGTATCCTTTCTCTATTCTTTAGTATAGTTTTAGTATAGAATAATATAATATAATATAATATAATATAATATAATATAATATAATATAATATAATATAATATAATAATAAATTTGCCTTCTAAGAACATGGAGTCAGATTCATCTTTCCTCCCCATGACGGGGGAACCCAAAAACACCACATGGAGTCAGGTTCATCCTTCCTGCCTTCATCTGGGGGCAACACAAATACAACAGGTGCACAAACCCCAGCAGCTTCAAGCAGAGGAGAGGCGAGCAGAGAGACACTCACCAGCCTGGTTGGTCGTGATGCTGACAGCAGCAAACTGCCTGGAGAGGGTGCTGAGCTCAGAGACCCCGTTGAGTGCGTCGATCTCGAAGGTGTAGTTGGTGTGTGCCAGCAGGTCCACCACGGTGACCGTGGTGTTGGTGAGGCCGCTCTGGCGCGGCAGGAAGCGCACGCTGTCGCTGCAGGGCTCGCAGGGCCGGCTGCTGGCGCCGCACTTCTTGCAGACGATGTTGAAGGTGACGTCCTTCCTGCCCCCCGTGTCCAGGGGCCAGCTCCAGTCCAGGATAACGGAGGTCTCGTTGATGTTGGAGATGACGTTTCTCGGGGCCGATGGCGGTCCTGGGAAAGGGAAATCAGGGAGTGAGATTTTCTCCCCAAGGGTGCTCCAAAATGGGAGTAACGAGGGTGCAGAAATATAAAAGTAAAAAAAACATTAATAGCCAAACTCTTCTGGTTATTTCCTGTGGAGACTCCTGCAGTATTTCACTAGATTACAGACCTAGGCTAACAAGAACCATGTTTTCTTATAAAGAGAGAGTCCCCTCAGGGTGCAGTTCAGGATTGAGGGCTGAGTACTGGCAGCAATAAAAAAATCCTATTTCTCCTTCTCGAGTCTGACATGGTACAAGAAGGAGAAAACGCAATCAGAAAAGACACAAACCCAGCCCACCGATTTCCAGCAGCCTGTCCAACACTCAAGAAGACACGAGAGGGAGTGGATGGCTGACTGCAGTGGGACATGAGAGGAAGCAAGCAGGCGAGCTGTTGTGGAGGGACAGATGGAGCAGCAAGAATGACAGCCCCGAGCAGAATGAGCTACTCACTGGTGCAAGCCATGGATGGAGGGTCTTTCTCAGAGCGAAAGTAATTCTTTTCACACCTGCAGTTCAGAGATGCATCTTCGTAGGTGGAGCTGTGAGGAGGGCATTTGGCACACTTCACATTGCCAGCAGAGGCTTTGTAGAACCCAGCTCGACAGGCTGCAAAGTAACAGGGATAGAGTTTTAAATTCCATGGACATCTTGATTCTAACATGTGACTACTGCCCTGGAACCTACCCATATGGGAATCACAGTTTGCAGACATTTACGTTCTAAAATTATAGATTTTTCTCATAATCAGAGCTGACAGAAATAAAACGTCTTGGTAGAATGGAATTCATGCATCAACTTGGATTTGCATTTAATTTTGCCTGGAAAACAAAACAGTGTATTGCACCACAAAGAAGAAACATTTTCTATGCTTCATTTTGAGAACTTTACTCCTTTTCCTTCTCTTCCGCTTAATTTACCAAAACATTGGCCCTACCCTGCATAAGAAACTAACTTTATCCTCTCTCTGCTGCTAACATTTTCTTACAAGGGCACACTGATTGTAAACTACGTCTCTTCAGTCCATCAGGTCAGGAGCAAGCAAGCCAAAACCAAGAAAATAACCTGAACAGAAAAAGATCTTTTCCATTTTTGAGTGATCATGTCAATGAGCTGCTTGCATTACCTGTGTAAGAAAGATTTTTTTTGGATTAGCAAAGTCTTTAGATGGGCAGCCTGAGGTGGGAAAAAGGTCTGAACAGCTATCCCAGCATCTTTCTAAGTGATGGAGGAGGGAGGGATTGTTATTGTCTCTCACCAAAACCTAAATAAACACTTGGGCAAGGCAGATTCATTGGTTAGCTCCTGATGCCAAACACCTGAGTGAAATGCTCTGGTGAATGGTGAGAGAGCAACTGCTCTGCTCTTCCCTGAAACATCCTAAAAAGGGACAGCCTCCTCCAGCAAGGGACAGCAGGAGGAGCAGGAAGGGTTTCACAGGGAAGTGCCAATCTCAGCCACCCTTCAGCACTTCCCAGCCCTGGCAAATGGCAGCACTTGGCTGCAGCTGCTCCCTCCGACTTCCAGGCTGCAGCAAAGCAGCTGGCAAAGACAGCTCCTGCTCCAAGTTCTCTCCTGCAAGCCCTGAGGAAACAACCCAGAGTCTGAGCCTCTGAGTCACGGCCGCAGCAGACAATCTGTTACAGCAGAATTGTAAGAAATCCTAAAGAATAGCAGAACTGCTAAAAGTGACCTTGTGTGAGCAGCATGGTCCTGCCCAGCCTGGCACAGACCACCCAGCTGGCACTTCTGCTGCTCCACTCTCCTCAAAGGCTGCCAGGGGTTTGGGGATCCCCATTTAACTGGAGGAAATAAAGGAAATCTAAGTCCTTCTTACACCCCTCCTCTAGGAGGAAATGCAGCAGGAAACAACGGGGTTTGGGTTATTGATTTGGTTTTTTGGATTTTTTTTTGCGTAATTGTTATTTTTGCAACCTTTTACAACTCAAATGCCATTCCCTTGCACCTGGAGCAAGCCCCTCTGGTGGCCCTTTGGCTGACAGAGGAACCTCCAGTGACTTTCCTGCCTCTGTTCCCAGCCCTGAGACAACAAGCCAGGCAGAAAAGATGTCAATACCCTTCTTACCAGCAGTAATAACTACGCAAACACAATAAGGAATAAATATCACACTTCATCTGCCTCATTAATACAGAGAAGTTCCACCAAAACTTCTCATGGAAAATTCCTACAGATACAAATTTCCAATGCTGTTGCTTAACCAGCTTGAAGGGACACTTTTACATTCATGAGACAGTGATGTATTTATGATTCTATACAGCAGAATCTTTTAGTAAAATATATGCTAGTTTAATGCAAGGACCAAAAAGAAAGACCCTACCACCAGTATTTTAATAAAGCAATGAATTTAACACAAGTAAGCAAGCTTGTATTAGAAGAACACAGATTCAGAGGGGTAAAGAAGAGAAACTCCTCCATTAATCAATGTCTCCTTCACCCCTCAGAGGAAAACTGATGGACCTCATTTAAAAAAAGGTGGTGATGGTCAGTGGGGGTTGAAGCCAGTCAGATTCCTGCTGTCCCAATGTGCCCTACCAAGGGCATCCCAATCTCATGTCTCCCCTCAGGCTGTCTTGCACTTTCTGTCTTTGTCTGTCAGACCAATTTCAGATTATTCACAACAGCAGCCCAAAGGAGAAAAAAAATGCATTTACACTTGAAACTGAAGCTCAGAACTGGAGGTGCCAATGAAAAATACTGTTGATGTACTTACTGTAATTATTCCTTTCGTAATCATTTTTAAACTCCTGATATTTAAGAGAGAAAAAAAATAAAGTTGTTACTTCAAAAGCCATTAATTTCTCTGTCAGAGAAATTGGATTACATGTACTGATAGAAGAAGCTTTGGCTTTTTGAAGCAAGTACCATGGCTTTGGTTTCAATTAGGTTGAAAAAAAATCATAGCAATTAGCATACAAAGTCTTCACAGAATCTCTAATTTTAGCATGGAAACCAGCTGTGAACAGCAGTTGCTTTTACTCAACAGTTTCCTGCAAAAACTAAGAATTTTTTATTTCCCTCACAAAGGGGAACAATGCAGGAAGAAGCAGATGCAATGGGCCACAAAGAAAAAAAACTGTTAGCACACTAAAAGTGAGTCAAGGAAACTTTGGGAATTTCTATATATGTGATATAAACTGTGCAGAAAGGCTGGCTGGTTTTGCCTTTTTAGAAAGATCTCCTCAAGCCTGTTGGCTCTGACTCCTGTGGTAACTCCCAACTGCAGCATTTATTCTGATTTCAGTCCCTTTTATTTGTGTGTGACGCCAGGATGACTTTATTGAGTCACCTGTTAGTCAGAATTTCAGGACTGTTTGTCCTTGTTACAGTGTGAAAATGAACTTCCTTAAGCTCTAACTGATGAGTCTGTCTCAGAGACAGAGAGCAGGGAAAGTTAATTCAGTGAGAGAAAAACAAATGCATGCAACAGTCTGTGCTAGGTACTGATTAAAGGAATGTGACTGTCTTTTCTACAGCAAAGTGAATTTTGCCTCATCTTGACTAATCTGCTTGGGATGAAAACATGCTCCTAATTAAGGGTTAAATTATTAATTTAAACTGGAATTAATTTTAAATTAAAACATAAATCTGTTAGCAAATAGGAGCATTTTAGCATTCAGGTCCTGCAGCCCCCTGCACACAGAGCAATCTCAGCAATTCCCAGCTGTAAATAGCAAGGAACAAGTGGAGCCTGCACTGGGGATGTCCCAGCCCCAGCACTCCAGGCTTGACAGGGCCCATCTCCTGCACAAGGTCAGGGAAACTTCATTTAGAAACTGCCTGGCACTGCCCAGCCCTGCAGGAGCTCTGCTTTTTGTGCTTTTTAGGCAGGGCTGGAGCATTACAACATGCTGGAAGAGGATTTCACATCCATGGCATTGGCTGACCAGCACCCACCCATTGATTGTTTCCTCTCTTTGTTCCTCTGCTCCTCATTAAAACAGCCCAGGGGCGAAATGTCACCGAGGCATGAAGGCACAGCATCCACAAAGAAGGGAATTCAACCACAAACCTGTGCAGCTCACAGCTAACACATCCTCAGAGTGTGCACTAACGAGACAGATGAGAGCAACCCAGGACAAACCTCCTGAGCCCAGCACAGGGAAGCATTCCCCATGGAAGTGGCCACTCTTAGAGGGGCTTTGCAAACTATTCCCACTGTCACCTGAGCAGCAGCAGGTGAGTTCATTGAGCTAATCAATATTTTAATTATCATATCAGGACCCATTCCTCACTTCCAGGATTTTGAGAAAATCCTCTGGTACCTGCAGGGACATAGATTTGCTTGTGTTTTAACAAAGCCCTGAAGCTGGACCTGGTCATCACAGGATGACCTTTGGCTGGGCAGGTGTGTTGGAAAGGGAATCAAAGCATCAATTAGGTTGGAAAAGACCTCTGAGACCATCAAGTCCAGCTTGTCACCTCCCACCACCATGTCAATGAGACCATGGCACTGGGCTGTGTCCAGTCTTTCTTTAAAATGCTACTGGCTCACCTCAATGCCCTCACACATCCTTGCATCTTTGAACTGTTCTCCTGTTCCTTTTTGAAAGTGTTTACACAGCTTTTCCCTTTTTTTCCCCACTATGACACCCCATTTACCAGCAAATTTATAATGCAGCTTTCTTTAAAATGCTACTGGCTCACCTCAATGCCCTCACACATCCTTGCATCTTTGAACTGTTCTCCTATTCCTTTTGAAAGTGATTACACAGATTTTCCTTTTTTTTCATAATGACACCCCATTTACCAGCAAATTTTATAATGCAAGTTTCCTTCAAAATTCCTCAGAGCAATGAAACCACCTTCAGCAGCTCTGGTTGTTTATTAGTATTTCAAAAGCCATAAATTCTGTAGCAATCTATATGTCTGTAGCATCCTCTCCTGAGCCTCTCTGTAACTTCTTGGACACCAACTCAGCCCACAAAGGCTTCTAAAAATTAGACTGTATTTTTGATTCATATTTCCACTGAACTTCAGGCACACTTTTTGTCATCAGACCCGAATAAAAAGCCACCACTTAAGTGAGCAGCTCTCAAAACTAAAGTGTATTACTGTACATGCAGCAGGCTTTCTCTGTGATGGGCTGTGCTGCTGGCACCTGAGGGAAGAGCAAAACAAGATTGAGAAAGGCTCTAATGAGGGATAAAAGCTCTTCTTGTGATTGGACCCCATTACTACTACTGTAAGAATATCCCCAGAAAGAGGTAAGGATATTGACTTTCTCTCCTTGCCTGTAGGATCCCATTCTGTCTGGTGAAGAAATTAAAACTTACAAATGTTCTTCGTATTTGTATTCTTACATCATCCATGATATATGCATGGGGCAAGGATCCAGTGCAATGTGACACTGAAATGTCTCTAGGAAAACACTCCTCAGAATGAGCACTTTGCATTCTTTACACCTGAAAGCTGCTGCCAGCACAAAAAAAAAAGAAAAATCAGTAGTATTCCATCTTCCTCATGAGTAAATTTTTGCCTTTTTCATCCCCGCTTCATATATTATAGTGATCTGTGACCTTAGCATATTTTAATCAGATGCTTCTTAAATTGGCTTTACTCCCAGGTCAAGCCATTCAGCAGAAACAAT